AGCTGATGAAGATTATTTAGCCTGGATAGGGAGCTCCCCAGGGGGAGGCCCCAGCTGCCCTTGTAGCAGCCCACGCAGGAGGAAGCTGAGGCCCAGGCTCGCTAATGCGGTGTATGAGGTGCTGACTTTCAAGTTCATCTTACTTTGCTTACTCCTCAAGTAACTGACCTCCAGGTGCCTGTGTTCCTCAGCAGTACACAGCCTCTAGTGTGCTGCTTCTGCTTTTTGTCACTGGGAAATTAAAGGGCAGCGTCGCAGTCAGCAGAAGACTGATGGACTTTTGAAGAAAGTACTTTTTAAAGGTTCAGCCATCTGTGATTGTAATGGCACATGTATAGAAACAGAGATGCTGCTTAAGATGATACAACTTACCTGCATGCTGAGCTCTCTGAAAGAACTTTTTTTCAGTAACAGAAGTGAGATGCTGAGAACAAAATCTGAGATGTCCATTACGTTGTCTCTCAGCTGTGTATTGGAACACCAGTTTGAGGCTCTAGATTTGTGATAAAGACTAGTGCTGGTATTTGGCTACTGTTACGTTTCCTCTGTTAGACAGTAGGAGAGTGGTTATTTTTGGCACTTAAAAATCTCTATTTACACTTCCTTTCTATTACAAGTAACACAACAAAAAAGGAAACCTGAAAACTAAAAGGTCATTGTAACTTTTCCCGTAACAGGAGAGCTTTTAGGGTTTCTCTTTTGAAGTCCTTTAATAATTCAGTATGAACTAATGAACATCTTTCATCTGGCTCAGAAATGTTTCAGGTGCATGTCGAGTCATGACCGTGCCTTTGTATGGTTGGTACTTTCTTTGAGTCGTGGGAGCTTATTTTTTTTGTTTTGACTGGAGGAAATCTGTTACACAGAGAGTCTGGAATCAGTGTTTTACTGTTTCCAAATCCCTGCTCCCTTTCGTTCCAGAGGAAAATGGGATTCTGGCTGCTTGATGATTGATGGAATGGTTTCCCAGTTCGGAGACCGAGGAGAGGAGTTGTGGAGGAGAGATGAAGGAGGAACTGGGAAATACCCACCTGCTAGTTTATATGGGAGTGTTTATGTTCACTGAAAACAGTAGCAGCAACACCAGCCCCCAAACCCTGCCAGATTTTATGATTTATAAAAGGAGATTAAAAAACTGTTAATTTTTCATTTCAGGCCGTGCTGGATCTCTGTTTGCTAGAAAGCACTGAAGAAAGCTACAGCCATGCAATTGTATCCTTCCTGGTTATTTCTATTACACCTTCATTTTGTGCACACAGACGTTCTTAAATGTTTGGCAAAACATTGCGTGTTTAATAACAGTTTTTAATTTATGCTTCAAACACAATGCGAGTGAAAACATTTAGTTTAGAATTAAGTTGTAGACAGAAGCATTGGATTTTTTTTTTCTTAGTACTGCGTATTTTTTATGATTTGTCTGGTTTTTTAATGTTTTGTGGCAAAGTCTTTTCTGATAGGAGAAAACACATTTACCAAGAAATGGTAAAGATAAAACTGGTTTTCATCCAGTTTTAATCATTCAGCGCTAAGTTGTATTGCAAAAACACCATAGTTTGCCTTATTTTATATATTCTGGAAATGAGGAAGATAACCAACTGTAGATTTTGTTGGCTTTACTAATGAAGCATTGGATGTTCAAATGTTTTGAATGTCTGACTGGTAGCTCCACTGACTAAAGAGGGAGCCTGAGTTTATAACTGAAGTATTTAAATATCTAAAGTGAACCTTTCTGAACGCCTCCACAGAAATCAAAGAGTATTTCTCTCTGGCTGTTTATGCAGAATGTAATTTTGTGGTTAGGACCTGACTGTCTTCAGGTTATAAGAGCTCCAAATGGCAAGACTAAATACATTAGTATTTTCTGCTTCTCGCCCTTTTATATTCTTAATTCATTATGTTTTTCTAAATGTAACGTGATACATTTTTGGCCTTACACATTTATTAGCCTTAATTAGGTACTCGATACCAGGCAACATGCTTGCTGCTAAATATCACACGTTCCTTTCTGAACAAAACAAACTTCAGTCAACTCCTTCCCAACTACCTTTGCCATCCCTTGGGGTCTTGTGAAGCTTATTGAAGGTTTTTGGCTTCTAGATCACAAGAATTATGAAGTAAGTATGTTACAAGTTAGTTAGAAACACGGTACAGTGTGAAGCTGTAATCTTCCAAGTGGATTTTAAAAACTGGTGCTTAGCTAATGACAGGTGCTAAACCATGAGAAGCTTTTTTGTAATACTGCTGCGACATCTTCAGCAATAAATTAGGATTGGAAAGTTTGTTTAAATGGCTTTGAGAGGAAATGGATTAAAACAAAGAAGAAATCAACTTTCATAGATTTGAATTTTCCAGGCCATTGGTTTAGGTTGTTTTCAGCAGCCCAGTTGGGCACTTTCTCAAAAGCAGTGGTTTAGGTGCTTTAAATATGCAAGCCATGATCCTAGCAGCAAGGTTGGAGAGAGACTTTTCAACCTAATCCATGTTCTTTCCGATGCTGAAGGTTGTTCTTTGCCTGTCAGGATGTAAATGTAAACTGTTTGTCTGGGAGAATAACCTACTATTTAGTAATGTATTTCTGAAGAAGTGATGTTTGTATGCAGAGATTTGGCTAACCCAGAAAAGTGCAAATTACTCCTTTTAAAACACTCACTTTGTTCTGTATGGCTGACTGAATTTTCTTCCTGCAGATCTTTGAGAATTTTGGTTTCCACGTCCTCTATCAAGTATTTTGTCTGTCAGTCATCTCAGTGTATTTACGCCACATTCTCCCTCCCTGAAGAGACTTCTGACTATTTTTGTTGCAGCCGTGTCCGTGTGGATCTCAGTACCCCTGACCTCGAACTCCTGCAGAATTCCCCGGCCCCGCTTTTCCCTCCAGCAGCCCCCAAACTGTGTCACGGCCACTCGCCCCCCCGCTCTCCCCGGGACCCCGCAGTGGGGGGGCGGGAGCGCCAAGGAGGGGGAAGCTTTGGGCTAAAAACCTGAACTTTTACACCGCTGCAATTTCAAAGAACCCCAACAGGTTGGTTGTCCCAGTTGGGGCTGTGCAGATGTGCTGGTGTGTGACTGCGCTTGTCCTTTTCCCTGGGATTTGACGTTTTTTTACTGTCCGTAAGGGCTTGTTGTGTCTGCGGGGTTTCTCTATCAGGTCACCCCAGGGGAAGCTGATTTTAGCCCTTTGCTTTCACTCCAAATGTGAAAAAAAGTGACGCATTTCATGTTTGAAATTAAAACCCAATCAGGCCTCCTCCTGGGGCCAGAAGGAAGGACGGAGCCCCGTCACTCTCCCCACGGGGACTGACCACTGTCCTTGATGTCTGTCCCTGGGGCTCCCCAGAGCTGGCCGTCCCTGCCGGGCTTCGGGGCCAAGGAAACGCCGGGGTGCCAGGGGCTCGTGGGGCTCAGGGCAGCTCCGGGCACATCCGAGGCCGAGGTGCATCTGCCCCTTGGATTCTGCAGGGGCGGTTATTTGCTGCCCCCTTAGTGGTTGAAACTGTTTTGCTTCCTGGCACAGGGACTGGACAGAAGCTCCTTCCCTGTTAGTCTGGGAGGACTTGAGGGAAATGAGGAAGGCACAGCATGCACGCAGGTATGAGGACAGGGAAAAGGAGCCGTGTCAAGATTTTTCTGCTGTTTCAGATATGAACTCAGACATTTGTGAGCATCCCAGCATCCAAAGTCAGATATTTTTCCTCTGAGCCACGCAGCTTTTCGCCAGTGAAAGTGAGTTGGGCTGAGCTGGCCTTCGGGATAACTCCGCTCCTCTCTTTTTTCATGGTGTGCCTACGCTTTCCCTTGCTCTGCAGGAGTTTGTTTCTTTCTTCCCCTTTCCCCCCTGCCCAATTCCATCCTCTTTCAAAGGTAATCATGATTTAGCTTTCTGGAGAGATCACTGTGTAGGTAGACACAGGGTGTAAGTATAGGCTGGTTTATACCTCCAGAGCTGTAGGTTGAGCTCCTCGACCTTTAAAAGGTAGAGAGGTATGGGCTCTGGGCAGAGTTACTGTTTGCCAGGTATTATTTCTCTTGGGGTCCTGTGAGAGTGATGGGAAGGTCATCAACCTGCAGCTCTGCAGCAGCTAAAACTACCACTGAAAGCGTTCTGATGGCGGATGCTGTTCTCTGTGTTTCATTTTCAATAATCATTTCATGGAGCTAGAATTCTCCCAATGTGACCAGGTGATGGGGATCCTCTTGCACTGGTCTTCTGTTTCTGGAGCTGTCCCGTCTGTTCCCGAGAGGGGTGGTGGGCACGTGTCTTAGTTTGGGCTGAAATAGAGTTAATATTCCTTTTCAGGGGCTAGATGAGTGCTGTGTTTTGGATTTAGCTTTGGGTTTGGTATGGGAAAAATGCTGATAGCACACTGATGTTTTCAGCTGCTGCTGAGACTTCAAGGACTCTCCAACTCCCCATGTCCTGCCCGTGCACAAGGGCACAGGGAGCAGGGAGGGAGAACAGACAGAGCACCTGACCCTAACTGGCCAGTGAAATATTCCATATCATGGAATATCATGCTCACTATATAAAGGAGGGGTGGTTGGGAAGGAGCGCTCTCGATTCCGGGATTGCGATTGTGGGATCTTGGTATCTCGGGGTCGCTGGCCGGGAACGGGCTGGATATTGGTTATCGAGTGGTGAGCAATTACGCTGTACATTGCCTGTTTATGTATTTCTTTTTGTTTTCCCCCCATCATCGTTATTGTTTTCATTTTATTGCCATTATTAAACTGTTCTTATCTCAGCCTGCAAGTCTCCCTTCACCCCTCTAATCCCCTCCCCCATTCCCAGGTGGGGAGGGGGAAGGGAGGGTGATTAGCTGCGGTGGTTGGTTGCCAATCAGGCCCAAACCACAACAGCACGGCATGCAACGACTGGTGGAATGGCTTCACTGGTGGGCTTGGATTTAGGGAATCCCCTTGGGCAAACCAATAGAGCAGATGCTCCATCCCAGAATTTTGATGTGCTGACATTCTAGAGAGAATGTGGAGGCTTTTCCTCTTCAGCCTTCTCTTTGTTCTTCCTCTTCCTCCTCCTCCTCTGGTTCTGTCATCGTCATCCTTCTGTTCTTCCTCCTGTTCATCCTCTTGCTCCTGCTCTTCTTCCTCCTCCTTTTACCCTGTGTCTTCTGTCCTGGTTGGGGCTGGAATACAGTTGCTGTTCGTTTTGGTCGCTGGAGGAGTGCTGATGCACACGGAGATTTCAGGGACTCTCCAGCTCCGCCTGCCCTGCCTGTGTGTGGGCGCGTGGGGGGGCGGAGCACAGCTGGAGCGCTGGGCCTGGATTGGCCGCTATGCCATGTCATGTGACATTATGCTCACGATATAAAGGCAGGAGTGGGCGGGAAGGCGTGGGCTCTCACTTCCGGGAGTGTTGCCACGGGGTCTGTGTGTTTCGGGATCGCTGGCCGGGAGCAGGTGGGTGTCAGTCGGTGGGCGGTGAGCAGCTGTATTGTACATTACCCGTTTATACTGTCACCGTATTATTTTATTACTCTCATTAAACTGTTTATCTCAACCCGCGAGTCTCCCTTTGCCCCTCCGATTCCCTCCCTGGTCCCAGGTGGGGGAGGGTGGGTGAGCGGCTGCGTGGCATTTAGCTGCTGACCAGGCTCAAACCACGACAGCTTGTCCCAGCTTTATTAAATTGCAGCCGTTTCCCAGAGGGAAGTCGCCCCTCAGCCTGGCTTAGCAGCACCAGCAGCCCAGCGCTCGCAGGGTGCGTCCTGGTGTCTGCTGCTGCGTTTGCGAGCTCAGAATGCAGATGGTCTGAGCTGCCAGGGAACAGATGGAGGGTTCTCTGTCATTCTGCAGGGGCTGCAGGGCTGGGAGCGAAAGGAACAGAGCCGAGATGAGCCCCCGTGTGTGCAGAGACCCCCTGGCATCCCCTCCAGCCCGTGCTCTCGACTCACTGGTGCAGATCTCGGGCAGCTTCTCCTGGCTTTGGTCCCTGAGGGGCCACACAGCAAGCCCTGGGCACAGAGCATCGTCTGAGCGCCCGCTGCCCAGCACGCTCCCAGCAGCGCAGCCCCCGGCCCCGCCGGCTCGGCTGCACACTCTCCTGCCCCTCCGCAGGGCTGAGCCCAGGGCAGGCCAGTAGCTGAGGCGGCAGGGACCGGGCAAGGCGGCCACCAAGGCCACCAGCGTGGGCAGGGCTGGGAGAGGGAGGCCAAGGCCCTGCACGGGGCAGCCGGGGCTCTGGCAGCCCCAGGGCTGCTCCTCGCTGCCAGCGCAGCGGCAGGGGCTGGGGCCGGGCTGCCAAAAGAGGGACCCCAGGGGCTGTGGCTCACCGAGGAACCTGACGGCCGCCTCTCGCAAGGTGACCTGGTCGTCCTCCAGGTACGGCAGGCTCTGAGTCACAGAGTCCTCAGCCCTGCTGCTGTCCTGCACCAGCTGGAGAGAGCACGGGGCTCTGGGGCACAGTCCAACCACCGACTCCTCCCTTTGCCCTGTAGCTCTCTTAGGAAGTCTCTAGTGCCCTCAGGACCCCTCCTGAGTCTTTCGGTGCACCCCAGGCCCCTGTGCGGGACTTTGAGCACCCTAAGAAACCCCACTGCACTGGGGGCCTGGCCCCTAGACCCTACACCACCACTTTAGACCCCTCAGCACCCCTCATGGGGCTCCGGCAGAGAGCTGCTCTCCTGGGGAGCCCCGTCCTCCTGCCAGGCCACCCTGGGGCGGCTGGGGGGTCTCTCTGCCGTCCTGTGGGACAGAGGGAAGGGGCAGGGGTGGGGAAGGGGGAAGCTTTGGCTGAAGGTCTCTGTGCCATGGGGGTGGTGGGGAAAGACGTGGGCTGCTCTCAGGGGCTCCTCACCGGCCCCGTGCTCCTGCCCTGTCCCCTCACCGTCCTACCGGACACTGTGGGCTGGGGGCCTCAGCCGTGCTGAGCACACGCAGGGCAGTGGGGTGTCACAAAGGGAGGTTGCAAAGGGCCCCACGGTGACCCACCGCCCACGCAGGGTGTCCCCTGGGGGAGCACAGGGCTGGCTCAGCCTTGGGCACCTGGGGGATCTCGGGGTGCCTCTAGGCCCCCCTTTGCCTTCAAGTTCCCTGGGACCTCCCTGGTGCCCCCCACTGTGTCCCAGAGCCCCATGGTCAGACACCCCAGCATGTTCCCAGGACGGCCTTTTCCTTTGCACCCACTGCTGAGCCCTGCCTCTGCCCCTCGATGACATTACATGTGTGAGATTCACTCAAGCTTAACAGAAACCATGGAAGGTTTTTGACTTCTCATCCCTTTTCCAACCAAACAGCTTTGGCTTTGTTCCTGGGGTGATCCCACCTTTGGGAAGCTGTGACGGGCCCTGGCCCAAACAGCTGAGGGTGCCTTCCCCGCACCAGTGCTGAGTTTTGAAATCTGTACCTTGGCCACGAGCTGGCCCTGTTCAGTCATGCGAAAGAAGAGCGGGAGCAGGCCCATCCGCGCTTTCTTCCTCATCTCTTTCTTGGTTTTGCCCACCACGGTCTTAATCAGGTCTTTGAAGAGGCTGATGGAGAGCTCTCACAGCTGGCTGAACCCCTGGCAGGGAGAAGCACAGCACGACTTGAGCAACCACGACTCTGCCCATGATAAGGAGAAGCGTGAGCACGGCTGGGGTGAGGGGAGACGCTCCAGGCTCCGACTCTGCCCGCCGGAGTTGGGGGCCAGATCTGCAGCCGCGGCTGAATGGCCCCGGGCTTGTGGAAGCCCCCTCAGGAGATTTCCCTCAGGCACTGCCTGTGCCCCAAAGTGTTCTCCCAGCCACCCTGCATTCCCCAGCAGCTGCCTCAGCCACACTAGGCAATATATACTGAAAAATAACGCTCATGTCAACAAGTGATGGCCATGGTTGACAACAACGTGCGGGGTCATGCACGACTCTTCTGCATCTTCAGAGAGCAGGGGGATGAGGGAGTCCCTTGGGAGGATGATGATGAGGGCAATGCCACCACTGGAGAAGTCCCCAAGAGACATAGGGCCACCCCCAAGTGAGATGGGACCCTTGGAGATGGCCCCAGGGAGGAGGGGAATGGGACTAGAGATGACACCCAGTCATGAGAGACTCCCTGGGGAGATCCCCTGGAGAAGAAGGAGACCCAGAGACTTCCCAGAGGGAGACAAGATCTCTGTGAAGATGTCATCAAGGGAAAGGCATCCTTTGGGGCATCACTGGGACACAAGAACCCCAGAGGGTGTCCTCAAGTCCTTGAAGACCCCATGAGATGTCCCTCCTCAGGAACATCCTCAAATACAGAATAAAGCCCATGACCATCCCCATTCAATCCCAGTTCTGCCAACAATTCATAATTGCCCTGATACCATTTGCCACATGCACCCAAAGGAAATGCTATAAATTTAATAACATTAGCATTTATCAATTCTTGAACTTCATCTTTGAGGTGTTGATATTTCTTTACTTTGTTGCTGCTTCCACCAAAGATGTTGATTTACTTTCATGCCTAATTGTGACATTTACCACCAAGGCTTTTTCCTTTCTAACAAATACCAAATCTGGTTCATATAATTCATTTTTTTTGTCTTTCAACAACGACTCTTGAAATACTACCCATTCTTTCTTTTTAGCTTCTTCCATCATAGTTCACACAGTTGGTTATTGCCACGTCCCACTCGGACAAGAGAGACAAGTGACATCAATTCGCAAATCCCCAGTGGGGTGGACAACGGTGAGACAAGTCTCAAAGTCCACGCACAAACTTTTATTAATTTCCCCACAATGTACTAATTCAATACACAATAATTGGCTAAGTATATAACGAATTATGGCAAGCGATCTAGTATGCTTCGCATTACTTAATGGTAATAAGTGAAAAAGGGAAAAAGAAAACAAGAGAGAGAGAAAATAAATAGAGGTCACTGGTCTGTGGTCCTGTGTTGGTCCCTCCCGAGTTCCTCGGGGATGCATCTGTCTCCTTCACTTCTTTCTATTGCTTGCTCACTTGTTTGCTTCTCGTCCCCCCCGCCCCAGTTTACACACACTTTCCTTGGGTCCATCCCCTAGGCCGACCCACATACCTATGTATGGGGAAGAGTAAGGTGCTTTATGAGATGATGTAATTAGCATGATCTTGTTAATCTTTGTTAGTATATTCAGGGGTGACAACTTTAATATGCATTTCGTGGATAATGAAGCAAAGGTCATTCAGCGGACACATGGCCCTTGAAACTTTATGAGCTGCCCCAGGGCAGAGCCATCCTGCCTTCACAGGGCTCCCTCCCTACTGCCCCCTGTGCTGTTTGGGCAGCCTCATCTCCTCCAGACTCCACATTATTCACCTTGTGACTAGCCTTTCATTTTATTCCAAACAACTTTGGAATAAGACTTAAAATCGTTTGTGCACTGCCCTGAGGAGATCCCCTTTCATGAAGGAGATGGTGTTACAGAGGGTAGCTCGGTCACATATCTACTGTGCAGAGGCTCTGTACACAGGAGATGCTTCTGCAGCTCCAGACAAGGTCTCGGAGGAAAAGCCTTAAGCAAAAATGTCACTGCAGGGTCCTTTTTAGTGTTTAAATGCAGAGGGTATGGAAATTCATTTACACTGTCTCAGGGTCAAAACAAAAAAGAGGAGTACAAATATTTCAAAATGGTATGAGTAATGAAAATTCTTTATGGACAAATTTATCAGAAAAAAAAAATAAATAAAATCAACAACTACAAAATATATAGAAGACAGGTTGGTCCTGTAATGAGTTCTGTTACGAGTGATAAGGAGAAGAAGATGGGCAGTATATTGCTTCTAAAAAAAAATCTAGTCATCAGCTTCCGAACTGCATCCTTGAGCTGCTGGTTCCTCATGCTGTAGATGAGGGGGTTCATTGCAGGAGGCACCACTGAGTACAGAACGGACAGCACCAGGTCCAGGGTTGGGGAGGAGATGGAGGGGGGCTTCAGGTAGGCAAACAAGCCAGTACTGACAAGCAGAGAGACCACAGCCAGGTGAGGGAGGGATGTGGAGAAGGCTTTGTGCTGTCCCTGCTCAGAGGGGATCCTCAGCACGGCCCTGAAGATCTGCACATAGGACAGCACAATGAAAACAAAACACCCCAATGCTACACAGACACTAATCACAATAAGCCCGGCCTCCCTGAAGTACATGCCTGAGCAGGAGAGCTTGAGGATCTGGGGGATTTCACAGAAGAACTGGTCCACCACATTTCCATGGCAGAGTGGTAGGGAAAATGTATTTGCAGTGTGCAGAGGAGCATTGAGAAACCCACCGCCCCAAGCAGCTGCTGCCATGTGGACACAAGCTCTGCTGCCCAGGAGGGTCCCGTAGTGCAGGGGTTGGCAGATGTCAACGTAGCGGTCGTAGGCCATGACGGTGAGGAGATAAAATTCTGCCGAGATCAGAAGAAAAAAGAAAAAGACCTGAGAAGCACAGCTTTGGTAGGAGATGGCCCTGGTGTCCCAGAGCAAGTTGGCCATGGCTTTAGGGAGAGTGGTGGAGATGGAGCCCAGGTCGAGGAGGGAGAGGTTGAGGAGGAAGAAGTACATGGGGGTGTGGAGGTGGTAGTCGCAGGCGATGGCGGTGATGATGAGGCCGTTGCCCAGGAGGGCAGCCAGGTAGATGCCCAGGAAGAGCCAGAAGTGCAGGAGCTGCAGCTCCCGTGTGTCTGTGAACGCCAGGTGATGGAGCTGCTGTTGGACATCAGCTGGTTCTTGACATGGGGGCACTGGCCTAAGAAGGAAAAGATGGGACAATTGTGACAGACTGCAAGCAAAGCCACTGCATTTCTCTTCGAAATCCCTCCCCCCAACTCCCAATTCCAACACATTTCCTTTGTTTGCTCTGAGGAGCAGGACCTCTGTCCCATGTGCTGCCAAGGAGCCAGCTCTGCCCTGCTGCCGTGAGGACATGGGATTTGGTTCTTGTCTCCTCCAGTGTTTACAAGGGATGTCAGATGCAATTCACCCTTAATAGAAATGTTCAATATCTGCACTTATGGCTCCCAAGAGTGTGGGATGCAGAAGAGAGGTTTAGCATGTGTTATGATAACTTTCTCTGTGTCTTTTATTTTCCACCATTATCACATCTGTTGAGTACTGCTTCTAGAAATCCTCAACTTTAAGACTGAAAGTGTGGAGTCTTAAGACAAGACAGGCAAAAGGGCTCAGCTGTCTGTGGCTCAGTGCAGTCAGGAGAGTAGCAGTGTCAATCAAGCTTGTTCCAAGCTGCCCTGTGCTTTCATTTCTGCTATCTGGAGGATGAATGCACACAAAAATTACTCTCAAAAAAAAAAATGTAACTGGACTCTAATGAAACAGGGGAGTCTTGTTTCTCCCATCTGCATGGAAATGTCCGAAAAATCTTTTTACCACCACAGAGGTGCAGTTGTGAGGGAGAGGGCAGGACACGGCCCCTGTCAGAGAGAAGCAAAGGAATCTGCGAGGAGACTGACAACCCCCAGGGAATGGCCCAGCACTCCCTGGGATCCTGCTTGGAGCTCTAATTTCCAGGAACTGTTTCTCTGTCCCCACATCTCCTCCCTGTCCCTGCTCGCAGACCCCATCCCACCCACCATATCCCCAGCTCTGCCCAGAAGACACCTCCTGGCAGCAGGGCACTGACCAGGGGGATCTCTGTGCTGGCAAGTCTTGAAGAGAACTTCAGATAAACCCTGAAGAGACCAGAAAGGTGATGGTAATGCTTTCTGTAGACTGAGGTGGGTGAAGGGACTTTAGCAGGTTTCCTGATAAACCCATTCCTCACTCACTGTAATGCTGTAGGAGTGTTTGTCTCTTATGCAAATCTGAACAGATCCATGACCATATCCACCTACCATCACAGCTGGACAGTGAAAGCACCATTCCTAGCAAGTTCCTTTACTGCCAGGTAGCCCCCGCCTTGATGTCCTTCTAGAGAAGTGCCCTGTGAAATGTCCCAGGGGTGATCTGGAACTGTCATCAGCCCTGACCCACGTAGCACCCTCTCGACAGCAGAACAACCCTGCCCTGCACTACAGTGGCTTGCTCCTTCCCCCCACAGCTGGGACCAGCTCAGCAGCAGAGGACCAGTCCAAGGCATTTTAATGATCCCTCAGGTGGGCTTGGTGCCCAGTCCATGACCCTGAGAGAAAGCTGATGAAACTTCTCAAGAAGGCAAAGTCAGACGTAAATGCCCAAGTTTCTTGGAGCATTAATGGGTCCCTCAGAGGGACGATACTGCCAGAGCAACCCTGGGGGCTGGTTAGAGCAGAAAACTGGAGGCAGAGGCAATGTAAAGGTGGCTCTGATGCTGAGTAAGCCTGGATGCATTTTATCAAGCCAAAGGGCAGCCCTGGCCCCAGCCCCTGGGAAAGGAGATGCTGTCCTACACCCACGGCTCAGGGCTCTTCCCGGGGCAGTGTTTTGAGGGGATATGCAATGCCAAGGGCAGGACTGTGGTTGGACACCTGCCAGGCTCTTGGGTGGAGACAAGGGGGCCATGAGGCCCCAGTGCTGTAAGGATTAGGTGTCTCCTGGTAGGCCTTGGTGACACAGCCAACAGCCAGAGCCAACAGGAGGAAGAGCTCAGCTCTTCTGGGGGCTTTGAACCTTGTCAGCTCCCTTGGCCGTCTCCACCACAGGCTCTCCTATGGTGGCCTACGCCTGCACTTGTTTTCTGGAAGGCTCTGGACATCCACCGTGCTTACCAGCCTTGCTCTCACTTGACCATCTTCCTACCCTTGCTGATATCTCTCCATCCTCACGGGCTGTTGGTTGGAATGCAGAGCTTTGGCCAATCCAGACTCTTTCTGGGTGGCCTATTGTACTACACTTGGAGAGACGCTTCATGTAACTCAATGTAACACAAAATCCTCATGTCCGGTCTCAACTTCCAAAGCTTCGCTTTGTGCCATTCTTCCTTTCTCCTGTTGTTTCTCGATTTAGAGAAAAATCTCTACCATCTCTGAAACCACACTTCAACCCATGTCAGGATAGTCTGGGTGGCCATGCTCATCCTGGTGCAGACCTGTATGCATGTGGCCTTGTTTGTGGCCAGCATGCACCTCTGTCTTGTATGGTGTCCTCGTAGTGCCCAGGCTCTTCTCCTCAGGGTCCCTGCTCAGCTACTCAGGTCCAAGCCTGCCCTGAGAAATGAGGAGATTATTCTTCCTCCTAATGCAGGACTGGACACTTCTCCTTGTAAACTTCAAGAGGTTTCTGTTGGCTGGAATCCCATAGTTTCTCAGGTTTCCCTGGGCTGAATCTCCATTTGGTCAGCTGTTAGTGCCTCTGTGCAGATAGCTCACCTTGATGGTGGTGGTGTCTCTCACATACTAACAGTCTGAGGAGATGAAGGGCTTTACAGCCCCAGGAAGGAATTACCATCAACACAATCTTCAAAACAATGAATGAGATTACAAAACAAGCAAAGTCAGGGTCAGTGAAGAAAGGGTAATGGGGGTTGAGCTGTTTGTATGTTGGACCGTGTTAGTGGAAAATATATACCTGTATAGAGACTGAAACAATAAGGATCTCTCCAGAAGCCGGTTTTAGGTTCTCCAGCTGTCTGGGACCTGGATCCAGGATTCCCTCATCCCCCCAGTTCCTCCACGCACAGACAAGCACATGCACACACTAATGTCTCTCTCTAGCACAACATCACAGAACCGCTGAGCCTGGAATGCAGTCAGCTTCCACCTCCTCTGTCCTTCCTCTTCATGCTTGGTTTCTGTCAGGAGCTCCTTTTTCATCCATGCCATCCTCCTGCCACCTGTTCTCAATTTCTTGCATGTCCGTGTGGACTGTTCTGGAGTGTGATGTGGAGATCATTAACCATCAAACAGCTCTCTGCACCCTTTCCTCTTCAGGGTTATATCCCATGGGATTCTTCCAAGCAGGTCCTTCAGCAGGTCAAAGCCTGCTCTCCTGATGTCCTGCCCCTTGCTTTCTTTCCTCTCTCAGCATCCTGTACTCTACTTTCTCACCCTTGGTTGTTACATCCTTGACCCTTGTCAGGAAGGTGTCACCAGTGAGCTCCAAAATCCTCCTGGGTGCATTGCACCTCTTCAGCAGAGGCAACTGGGACAGTTTCAGTCTTCCATGAGGTCCAGGGCCTGCAGACATGAAGCTCCTTCCAGTTGTCTGAAGAAGGCCTCATCTACCTGATCAAGAGGTCTGGAGCAGAAATCCACCCATCCTCCCACAGTGCTGTCCATGTTGTTCTGCCCTCTGATCCTGGCCTACCAGCTCTCAGCTAACTCACTGTTAGTCCCCAGGCAGAGCTCCATGCATTCCTGCTGCTCTCTCACACCAAGAACAACCACCCCTCCAGGTCCGGACCTATGGCCTTATCATTACCTGACTGCAAGACCCCATATTTTCTCCAGGTGCCGCTTTGGGCCACTTTCTCTCTCAAGCAACCAACTCACAGATCCTCTGGGCTCAGCAGGGTCTAGTCCAGATGTAGGGTCTCCAAATACCTGGCTCCCAGGACTCTCCTACTTGCTGGTTAATCTGGTTTGATGTGCACTAGTGTTTCCACCCGCTGACATACCCACCAACATGACATGCACACAGCCTGATCTCTCCAGTTGCTGGCCCTGGAGGTGCATGAGCCCCTTTGACTTGTGCTTCCCACTCCAGGGGTGGGCCCTTGGACCTCTATCCGTACCAAGAGCAGACATCTCCTCACCCCAGAAAGTTGTGGAGGATGGAGTTTTGTAAGAAGACAGGACAGACTGGAGTCATCAGTTGCATGGTACGCCTAAACCAGTATAATGACCAGCCACACGTGACCATCTCCTTTCATCCCCATTTCCCGCTGTTTTCCAATGCTTCTTTCTCCCCAAACCACCTTGGTCCTTCCCTTTCCCTGCCTTTGGTTCTTTCCTAGGCATGCCACAGCAAGCCTGGTACAATCCCCAGTGATCTCTCCGGCATCCCATAAGGACTCTCAGACCCCCAGAGGCAGAAACCCCCACCCTCAGTCGACAAGGTCACCCTGGGAGGCTCCTCTGATTGATCCACTTGTTAAATGTCACACCCAGATATTTTGGACCTCTCTCTGAACGAGTATTTTTCACTTTGGGTTTTAAACTGTTTCTCTGAAAACAGGGTGTTTCCAGTCCTAAGAAATGGAAATTATTTTTGTTTGTGAAAGTGTTGGGGATTAGGTCAGATAAAAATGTCCATGTGGGGTATATGTGAGACGGAGCACAGTTTGTCTGACCATGACCCAGTCCTGATGACATCGACTCCACGAGGCATTTACTAGCACTGATCACACACGATAAGGACCGTAACATGCATCTATCCCAATTACCTGGTAATTCCTCTTCAGTCCCGTCCACCTCTGTTTCTCTGTTCCCTCCCTCAAAGGCTGTGTCACGCACACAAGCCCAAATGAAAAAGATTTTAAAGAGTCAGAAGTGCAAGCCAGGCTGACAATAACCATTTTTCAGTGGTTAAAACACACTCAATATGTCAAGCAGCAGTCATACCCTGAGATTAAAGACACCCTGGAGTATTTGAGGGCACATCATAGGAAGGAGGACCAGGCACCTGTATTA